GCTGTAAACTGCATTTGCATGCGATTTTTAATTCGCGCCATAAAACTTGTCAAATTTCGTAAAAATTTTGAGATTCGTCGGGTCTCTTTTTCTATCCGTGTAATTCCATGAAAGTTCAGTAGAAAGGATCGTTTTCTAAAGTCGATTTGGAAAGTAGAGATTTCAAGCTGTAAAATGCTTTTTTTAAACATCTCGATACAATCATTTTTGACGTTACACTCTCTTGAATTTTGCTTATTTTTGGAGGCTAGAGTAAGTGATGCTTTAACTTTGTTGAGAAGTGTATTTAAAAATAAATTTCTTTTTTAGTATTATTAAATCCATTAATATTGTTATCTTTTATTTACTTTATTTTATCTTTCAAATCCTTGGTTACTATACCAGGATAAAACATACTTAGTACAATTTATTCATTTCTAAAGTTATATCTTTTTAAACTAATACTTAAATGTATTACTAAAATTTGTTTATTCTTTATCTGTTTTTGAATCTACGTTATCGATATTTTACACATATTGACTTAAAAAATGTATTCAATTTAAAAATATAGTATCAAAATTACAGACTCTAATGTGGCGGAAAAGATAATCAAAAATAACAATAGTAACTTAGGGTTAAATTATGACGTGAGATTGTTTGAAGCAATATGATAAATATAGCAAATAATTATTTTTATTTATGAAATAAAATCATAGTGTTATTTATTAGGTATTTAAAGAAAATAGTAATTATATTTGTGTAAATACATATATTTATTACAAATTAATATTTTCTCCTGTACATACATAGAATTAAAAATATTTATCGATTTTGATTTACATTCATATATATGATAACACAAAAATGTTCATTTAATATATCTTTAATCCTAATATTCCTAATATTTTCAAGAAATTAACTAAAAAATTTATTTAAAACTTTATATAAATGGTACTTTGTCAAATTGCTACTGTCATTTAAAAAAAAATGCAAACTGTATTTACAAACTGTAATGTTAAATATAACATCTTGCTTTGCATATAAAGCTTTTAATGATTAATATTACATTTAATCACACTTAACATAAATATTTATTTTAATGTCAAATTGGAGTAACTACACTTGTAATCATTAAAGTAATATTTTATTAATATTATAAAATATATTATATTATATATTATAAAATATATTATAAAATAATATTTGATAAAAATAATACTTTTTAAATTGCTGTAATGCATTTGTACTTTTTAAAATAAAATTTGTATTTCTTTAAAATAAAATTTTTTTAATTAAAATGAAACAAATATTTTGCATTATTAATACATTTAAAATTAAATATAATTATTGTAAACTTTACGTTCACGTTTGTTTTTAATTTCATAACTTTTTTAAATACTTTTATTAAAATAAAAAGTTTTGTTTTAATTGTACGTTCATAATTGAAAAGTAACAATAAATTTCAATGTCTGATAGAAATAAATGTAAAGTACCTATATTCATTTATTTTTGTCTGCTTATTCATAAAGTTCTTCTTACTACTTTGATAAAAATGAAATATTATTTATTATTGATATTTGTTTCCTGAGAAATATTCTGGATTTTTTTTTGCGAATTTGAGTATGCAACCAAGTTTTGATAGCTGCTGAATTACGATTTTGCAAAAGAGTATTGCGTATTTTGGATGTTATTTCGTTGAAAGATGGTAAAACATGCTTGTTGATATATTCGCCAAACAATGAAAAAGCAAGTTCTTTTTCTTCCATGGTCCATCGTGGTTTTACTATTTTTTCATTAGGTTGAGCTGAAAATATGAATCACATTTAAAATATATTATTGCAATATCACACGTAAACTGCAGAATAATTTTGTAATTATAATAAAAAAATAAGTGATTAAATCTTATAATTATAATTGAAAAATGAATGGTTAAATATGTACATGTATTTGTTGAAAGATAAGAGTTGATACAATATAACTTGCTCTGTTAATTAGTGCATGCTTCAAAAATTTAGTCTTAACATTCGTAGATATACTGCAAAATAACTTAACGTAGTTAGTCAGTGGCAACAGAGAGGAAAAGTTGCTAATGTGCCATTTTATTTTAAATTGTGTTTCTTAACGAAAATAGAGTCAATAATTCAATTTTAACATAAAACTATAGAAATACAATAAAACAAAGGCAATCAGAATTGCGGATTACGGTGCGTAGTTTTATGTAATCAAATTCCACATAAGTACAAATCTTTAGTCTCTTTAAATCCGTATATTCGGTCTTCTTCAAGCTTTTCTCAATGAACAAAATTGATATAATCGTTTAAACACATTGTACATATTGATTCCGTGATTCTTATGCTGCGTAAAGAATTAACTTATCTCTTATGCAGCGTAAGAATCATGGAATCAATATGTGGAATATGTTGAAACGATTGTATCAATTTTGTTCGTTAAGGGGTTATATCTACCTGAAAAAAAATTTTTTGCCAATTTTTTTTTTTGACCTAAATTACGTAAAAACATGTTAAAAATGATGTAAGACGTGATTTATTGTCGAAAAAAGTTTTTAAGTGCCCGAAAACGACGAATTTTTGAAACAACTCCAAACGCGCGAAAATGACAAATTGAGTTTCGAAGCGAAAAATCAAGTTTCGAAGCCGCCAAAATCAGCCGTCGCGCAGCAAAATCGGCCAAAAAGCCTGAAGAAGACCGAAACATAAGGATTTGAAGATACTAAGAATTTGTACTTATGATGGAATTTGAATACATGAAATTTATCACGCACCACAATTCACACTTTTTATTCTGATTACCTTTTTTATTGTATTTCTTAAACAATTAAACAAACTAAAAATAAAACTTTCAAAATGTAAATATAAACTAGAAATTATCTTCTCAGAAAAAAAATTAGATCTGCCGAGATATAACTATATTTAATTCATTAAATTTGACAAATCTGCAAATTGTTTTTATTTGGCTATTAAAAGATACAACTAGATATAATTATTTATTGTATATAGAGTTTATAATAATTCTTATTCTAGTTGATAATCTTTTCTGTAAATCTCTAAAAAATTTGTTATTGTAATCTATTACATAATCATTAAATTAAGGATTTTTAAATTTTTAATTATTATAGATAATTATTTATAGATTTGTAATGTATTAAATAATTTCTGTAATTAATCTATTTTGTAGTTTTCATTTTTATTTTAGATATTAGACGACTAAATTAATAAATAAAAATACTTTTATACTAAAATAAATAACATCTTTTGTTTATAAAGAATGGTAATTGATTATAAATTCTTTGTTTATAAAAAATATTTGTCTTTTGTAAATTATACCTTTATTACATAATTTATTTTTATTTGATCATATTAAAGATATTTAATTGAATATCTTTCTATATATATATATACTATATAATGTTGTACTTGTGCCTGTCCGGCGTGTCGTTGGGGCTGAAGCCGCCGTGCGGTATCAATCGCGACATTAGAAGATCGACTCTTGTCAATGTGGAGATTTATCCAAAGCTATCAAGCTTGACGGACGCACTTCTTAACATATATTTGTAACGCATTAAGAAATATTGAAAGAAAGTTGTTCAATTCAGTTACATTTATGTCCTCTTCCTTTTTCGCGTGCGCGAGTGCTCTATGAGTGTGCGTTTTCCGCAAGTAACATTAACAGGTGTGAGCGTAACATTTTGAGGATACCGTCACTCACGGAGCACTCGCGCGCACGATAACGGAAGGGAACACAAATGTAATTGGACTAAACAACTTTCTTTCAATACTTCTCAATGTGTTACAAATATATGTCAAAAAAGCACGTCTGTCAAGCTTGACAGCTTTGGATCAATTTCTACGTTGACAAGAGACAATCTTCTAATGTCATTATGGATACCGCGCGACGATTTCAGCCCGAGCGATACGCCAAACAAGCACGGATACAATAAATAAATTCACGTTTATATATTTAAATATCATTAGACGAATATTATCGAACAATTAAACATGATATCGTCAAACCTGAATAGTTTTCAATCAAACTCAATCTCAGTTTGACTTATATCTGGAATACGATCAAATATAATGTACTTTGAATCGTATTTGAGTATATGGTTATATCTGAAAGATATAAGTCAAATCTGGACTGTTTCGATAAAATACAATTACATATTGTTAGATCTGAGTAGACGCCAAATTTGAAATGGTTAGATCTGAACCGTCGAAGACCAAGTATGACCTCAGGTATGATTAATGAAATATAAAAAATATACTTAGCGGTAAAAATATACGCGATAGCGTCCCCTGATACGTATATGAACATGCTCTATACAAACATGAAACGTACTTGAACATATCTAATTAGATAATTTGATCTAATCATAACTAATTCTTTTACCAAGGTTCTATTACATGATATAACAGTTTTTAAAATATTGATCCAAATTTTGCAATAAGTAAATTTTTCGTAAAAAAAAAAAAATAAACATCTGACAAAATAAATTCCAAAACGACATAGTAATTAGTAACATGCTACATTTTTCTTTATTTTTGAATCATAAATTATTTATATAAAATACAAGTTAATGTAAGTATATGCAGTTTCCTAAAAACATTTTTTTATATAAAACGTTTTTTGTCAATTTATACAAATATCTTATGTTGTTCCACAAGACGCAACATTTAGCGCGACAATATGTAAAAATTACATTAAGTTACTCAACAGATAGATCTCCTAATGCTATGTCTTTATTTTGTCCTACACGTTTTTTTACAATTTTGTAATCTTATCACACACATAACAGGTGTGCCAGTTTATACGTATCCCGATTTTATTTAAAACCATATTATGAGAAAAATAAGAAAAAGAAAAAGATAAATAACATTTCCGAACGATACAAATATGTAAAATAATTTAATATTATCTAATAATAAAAAAAATAAGTAAATAAAAGAAATTGCAGTTTATATCTAATAATTATTATATAGCTATTATAATAATATTTTACTTCTTTAATTATCTAAACAAAATATGTTTTTATCAGTATTAATAAAAAGTGTAATGTTTAATTTCCGAGAAATAAGGGACTATAGTTTTAGGAGATCTTTATCGGTATTTGTGATATTCCTTTACTAAGAAGTTAGTTTTTAATAAAATTCAACTAATCTGTTAAATATTCATAGATAATTTATGACATATAATTGTAAATTGTAAGAGAAGAAACAGTAGAAAAAGTCAAATTTATAAATTTTATTTTTCTTTTATAATTTATTGTTTTAATATATGTATAATATTAATAAATCCGTAAATATCTGTTTTGCACAATATTTTTGGCTAATAATATTACATATGTATGTAAATATATTATGTATATTGACTGTTGTATACTAATGTATAAAACTTTTAAGAAAATAAAAATATATTTAAGGAAGGTCTAAAGTCTTTTCAGTTTTTTAGTTATGATAAAAACTAAAAAAATCTTTTTCTACTATTCTGTTTTTTATTAAAAGTGTAAGAGTAATTTATTGATAATGTTATTAAAATGCTTAAATATTAGATAACATATAAATAATGCTAACTTACTAAATTGTATTTTTTTAGATCGTTTATCTGATTTGGATAAAGTGCCTTTTGAACATTTTCTTTTTTTTGCATTTGTTTGTTTCAATGTATTTTCGTTAGAAGTATCTGCGAATGGCAATAAAATTTCATTCTCTGAGTCTTCATCTTCAGTAGTTTCAAGTATCTCATTTTCGTTTGAATTAGTACAGATATATCCTGCAAAAAAAATTATAATTGCATATTTGTGTATATCTACATATTTTTAAGGTCAGACTACATTTAATTATTTATAATACAGTTATATAATAAAGTGTAAATATAAAATACATTATTATACTACATATTTAATTACATATTTAAGAAAATTTATATTTCATCTATATATTCTGTTAATATATTTCCTATTTCTTGATTTTTACTTTGATTTTTGTTTATAGACGTATCGGATGTATTATCTGTCGTATTATTTTCTGTTACAGAACTATCTGTAGTATTATGTACAGATGTATTTCCAGCTCTTTCTAAAATTTTGGACATGTCTAAAATATCAATTTTTGCAACAGGTTGTCTGTAAATTTGTTTATGAATATCTTGATGATGACCCATAAAATTAGCAACATGAGATACTTCATTTTCAGATAAATTAAGAGATAGGCATTTTGTAGCTATGTGTTTACATAAAGTGGTGCCACGTAAAGCTCTGTCGTTCTTTGCTCCACATACAGCAGATTGTTCACGCATTAACTTGCATGCTTTAAGATATTTAGATCTATTATTATTGTTATTTGGAATTCTAAATAGATAAGGATTTGTGGAAGATACTCCTGCCATTTTTCGATATTTCAAAATAGTTTCTATTGCATCTATCATTTTTGAATTTAATAAAACGGGAACAGTCCGATTTAATTTTCCACGAATTGTAAAGCGTATATATTTTTTAGCTGCTTCTTTTTCTGATGCTGGTAATTTTTTATATTCTTCATCATTGTCTGTCACTTTAATTGAATTCTTATAATCACTTATTAAAGTTCTTTCGATTTCCCCTGCTCGTCGACGATTAAAAACTTGTATAATAATTAATGTTGTTTCCGCGAGTAATCTCCAGGCCTTCAATGAAAAATTATTTTGTAATATTTTCATGTTAGATATTCTGTTGTTTTCTAAATACTGATTCAATTTTGTTATATCTGATGATCGCAGAAGTTCAACTTTTTTTTCTCTTTTTCTTTTAGATTGTGTTTCTGCAACAGTTTTGCTTACAATATTATCATATTCTGCATCTAATAGTTTTTGAAAATCTTCTGTCATTTTTTGTTTTTCAGCATTATGTTCCTTGATACATTCACTAATTAAAATCTTACACAGCTTTTTCAGTACTGTTCCTAAACTTGAAGCATTAAATGGTGTATCATATAGTTGTGTTTCTTCATTATATTTAGCAATGATGTTCACTGCTTGTATAGCAGTATCATAATATTTTGGATCAAATAAGATTTCTAGTTCGTTTATTTGTGGTTCAATTTGTCTCAATATTTGTAAATATCGACCAAGAAGTCGTAACTGCGCACGTATATAGTCTTCTTGATGTTCTAACCTGTGTTTTTGACAAAGATGATTGCCATATAATATTATCAATAAATCGTATCTTATTATATTACGAATATCATCTTGTTTCAGTATCGGAATTATTTTTGTTCTTAATCTGGTACAGGCTCGGTTATGGACTGATTTTGCAGCACTTTGTGCAAGTTGCAGTATGTGCCGAGATGTATCTTTCTTTTTAGCACAGAAACGGAAATGATGTCTAAGATTATTTTTTACATAATGTCCTCCACATTTAGGACAAGGTAAAAAATTAGATCCCATTTGCTTTGCTTTATTGTTAGACCTTCTTACAACAAT